TCTGTGGATGTTCGTTGTCTCATCCTGGACTGTGGTGCTGACGCTCACCAGTCCCCGGCCTCCTTCCTTCTGCTTAGCACACAGCCAGTCAGGGTTCTGGACGTGACCCTCCATGCGTGGTCAGGAGCTTCCTCGTCTTGAGGTCACTGACTTCTATCTCCTCCTTTGGCCAGCTTATTATCCCAGCAGGGTAAAATAACTTGACCTGAGTCACTGATGTGCTCTTGGAGTAACTTTGGTAGTCTGGCCAGTGTCGCGTAATGTGGAGTGGAGAGAGCTGACAGACCCCGGCCATCACAGCTGAGCCGATAAAGGAAATTGTCTTATGTGTTATAAATGTGTTGAAACAGAGCTTTATATAGATTATACTTGTTCTCATTCAGCAATGAACTGGTTTAATTTGACATACAGTGTTGAACTGACTCCACACAGAGATGTTCATCCTGGTTACATGTGTTTCATCTGAATGGCAAACATTTTTCAGGGGACATTTTAAACCTTGTCTACTAAATGTTCATGTGTAAGTCTGTAGGGATATGGGACGATCACAGTACTGGAGGTAGCTGTTGATGCGGTGGGATATATTCAGCTGGCTCAGGACCTCTGATGCTCTGGTACCCAGCATCCTCCTCACAGCAATCCTGCAAAGCTGCTGCAGGCTCAAAGGATTACCTGTCAACAACAAATGTTTGAACAAGACGATCAGGCCTCAAAAGCAAAAAAAGAGCAAGAGTGTAAGAACTTTTTTGCTGTAACTCAGACACAACGCAGAACCTTACTTTCATAAAACCTGAGGCAGGTGTACGAGGGAGATGCAGGTGTCGTGTAGTCTATAGGCTTTCTTCCCAGGTTGTCGCTGGCGTACACATTGGCCCCAAACTCCACCAGCAGCTCAATCATTTCCACCATACCGACGCGAGCTGCGTGATGCAACGCTATCTCATGGAACTTCACTGAATTCACATTAGCACCTGCATGATTCACAATCATGTAAAGGTCTTAGTCCAAAGACATGCACAGGTTAGTGTGAGTGAACAGCTGTCTGTCTCAGCCCTGTGATCCACAATGAACCCCGCCCCTCGCCCTCTGACAGCTTTGATTGGCTGCAGCACTCTCTGTAGGAAATTGGCTATCACCAACTGAACTTTCAAAATAAAACAACCATACATTGCACCTTTAACACACCTGCAGTTAGCAGCTCCTTGACACAATTCAGATGTTCTTTAGCACATGCTATGTGAAGGGGAGGCCCAAAGTGGACGTCAAATGCCTCCAGCTTGGCACCGCTGGCTATCAGCAGTCTCACAACTTGGGGGTTACCTGAGAGGAATGTGAAGCGTTGTTCATAGCGAGACATGTGATAGCATGACAGCGTTGTTCCTGCTGAAGGTTTACCTTGTATGCAGGCCTCGTGGAGCGGTGAGGCAGTGAGAGCTGTGAGGGACGGGTTCACCTTGGCTCCATAGTCCAACAACAGCTCGACACAGTCCAGGCTGCCAGCAGCACAAGCATTACAAAGAGGCGTGCTACCGTGGATGGTGCGTACGTCCACCTGGAACAAACAGAAGAACATTATCTAGCTATTCTTTAGGTAATCTACAAAATTGTAGGGCCATGTTAAGACCTGAACAACAAACATCGTTTGTGAGGCTGTCACAGAGGGATTCTGCACCAGAGAGCATCACTTTGTACCCGCTGTGTTAAGGTGCGTGACTCCCAGACTCTACACCGGCTTGTAGATGAAGCTGTGCCTCACCTGGGCTCCTGCCTCCAGCAGCAGGCGAGCACAGCTTGGATGAGCCTGGATGCAGGCTTCGTGTAGAGGAGTGATGTTATCCACAGTCACCATGTTGACAGACGCTCCGTTTTCTATCAGCTGCTTCAACTGCAAAGTCCTGCCGTGGGATGCTGCTTCGTGCAGAGCAGTGCGGTCTGCCCAGAAGCCTCACACACACACACACACACATTAACACAACAGCAAAGAGACTGAAACAGCTGCCATTAACCAGTTCCATTATGTGTAAACCCAGTAAACATGGCAGCAGTACTGGGTGGAATAAGTCAAAATCCATCAGTGTCCATTACTAATATATGAACAAGGGCAATATTTAGACTGATTACAGAAATAACTGTAAAAGTCTTTTTGCCTCATTCATCATGTTTAGTACATACGTCCATTAGTCTTGTAAACGTCGCATTCTCTCTTCAGTTACAGAGGAACTCCGAGCATGTTATCTAGCTATAAGCCAGTTAGCTACCAAATGACTTGGTCTGTGTAGCTGAACTTTCTCGACACTGACGGGACTCTGTTATTCTCCGCCTACATTTCCCGGTTAAACCCCGCTTTTGGCGGCGAACACACGGTCTTATAATCAGACGTCAGCCGTTCCTGTGGATGTAAGCTGAGGTGTAAACCGTTAACTGCTGACGATGCTTACCGATGTCGCACAGAAACGAGCGGCGGGCTGCTGTCACCTCCATGATTACAGGTTACCACACACGGTGCTCTACAGAGTCGAACGGAAAGCCAGCGCGGCATTGTGGGAATTGTAGTAGCGATCTGAAGACGAACTGAGGATTCTGCAGAGCTCATAAAGCGAACGCGGAAGTGTCGAAATCCATTTCCTAGTTTGGTCACCTGGAACAATCTTTCTTCTTAAAGCGAGTCAGTAATCAGACTACCTACCTTTAAGGTTGTGGTGGGGCGTGGTCTGCGGTGGCGTGCAGGGCGGGCGGACGCACCTGCACGGCATCCGTAATCACGCCCGCCAGGTTAAAACACGGGGGCTCAGGTGTGTGTTGTGGTGAGACGTAAATAAAAGATGGCTCTGAATGATACCCCGTGGTCCCGCCGTGCCTTATTCTCGCCACAAAGGTATGAAAGGCTCGTTTACAGTGATGCCAACGAGGTGTGACGACTGTGCGGTGGGTGGTTCGAGGCTACAGTGGTGCTCGGACAGCTTCAGCTTTCCTTCTGCTCACCACGTTTGTCCACAGATGCCTTCATAAGAAAACAGACTTGCTGTGCGTCCAAGAAGCTCGTGTTTCAGTTTCTTCAGCTTGGCATGAATCATCAGCATGTGTTTGTGCGTTAGATCCATGAAATGTGTTTTACCTGATGACCCAGTATTACAAGTTTCAGCTTTCATCCATTATGATGCACTACCAAATGTTGTCAGGGTAAGGATGTGTAGAAGCAGACATTACAAAGCCTGCTGCATACTTGAAACTACTAAAATAAATAAATCTCACACAGCTTTGGATTTTGACAAAGTTTTTCTTTTTTTACTTTGCAGTACAGAAATCATTTGAGCCCCAAGATAGTTTTTTTCTTCCTTTTTTAACAACAGTTGTTCAAAACCAGATATCACAAGGCTCCCATCAGTTCAATACTGCTGCAGTACACATTTGGTCCTTCTTAAGCAATTACACGTGTCATCAATCTGCTGTTAATGCTCGGGTCTTTGATTATTTGGGGTAATACAGGAACTAATACATTTTTCTCAGATGCATTATAGTAACTCAAAGTGTTGAAACCGGTTCAGGAGGTTTATGTTGAGCTACAGTCGTGCCGGTGACATCACTTACTGTATGCTGTCGCACAATCAGGGGATCGAACAAAGAAAAGAGACCTAGCCCATACACCACTAAAGCACTTTTACAAAACCGGACCATATGATGTGGATGCTGAGGTGCTGCCTCGCACGGCGCTCTGCTGTTACCGGCCTGAAAGTGCAGGAACTGCCACATCCTGTGAGGAACACTCAGCTCAACACACCACAACTGAATACAGACACACGATGCCAAGCCACAACTCACAGAACCTGACACGAAAAGAATACCTGCATATACAAAATATCAGCCGAGTATATAGTGTACATCTTTTCCAGATACTATTGATTATGAATCGTTTCATTTGGCATCTTTGGACTACGCATCGTCTTAGCATGATGAATTAGAAAAATGTAGGGTATTAACTGTCTATTAGATATAACCAGTATTTAGTGCAACACCCACCAGAATGATGTGAAGAAGCATAGCGCTCTCCCTGAACCCTATCCAACAAAACTATACCGCCTCTCTATGCATCATCAACTTCTTCAGTGGGCAAACTGTGTACTCGAGTAATCAGTCAGCCCACTGGTCTTTACTTTTTTGTGTAAGTTTTCTATTTTTTATAAGATTTCCGTTGTCTTTGATTATCAGAGTGTTGCAGGACTGGCTGCCTCTACGAATCATCATCACCAAAGGTGTCTTTCTTCTTGCGCTCCATCTCAGCAAAGTCAAACTCTGAGCCTGTCATCCTCTTGTAGATGTCCTTGATGTCATCACAGGTGGTCTCAAAGTGAGTCGTTGCATCGTAGGACCGAGAGATGAAGATCTAGAGGGAAACAAAAGTCCAAGTGTGCCTTAATGTCACAGAGCAAACATCGTGAAATAACCAAAACAATCATCCGTACAAAGTAGAAGCAACAACAGAGCAAAGTCTCCAAGAACTGAAAGAAAGTCCAATCAAAGCGCCCGAGATGTTCAACTGTAACTGTTCACCAGGTGGCAAGAGGAGCACGCAGTGTGTTCTTTCATGTCAACTACACAAATCATTAGTTACAAAAGTATCCTTTTACTTCTGTGGTCACAGAGGAGCTTTCATTGGCTTTGTAAACCTTTGTGGGCGGAGCTGATCGAGCACATTTTGTGTAAAAACCCAGCATTAAAGCAAAGAAACTGCAGTGCACACAGATATGTGGCAGAACTTTGCAGTCATGTCCAGGACATTTAATAACAATATCTGCTGACTGGTTTTTAGCTTTAGATTTACAAGCTAAAGCTAACGACAGAAGGAGAACATGCAGTTGTTGAAGATGTGCACTCTGACGAATCAGCTCAACTGCACAGAGATTAAACCAAGTCTGCCTTTATTATGTGATAAATACGGCCTGTAAGACAGCACGTGTGTTAGTCACTAAATCCATCTAATAAGACACCAACGCTGTGTGCTTCATTAACTACATCGCTGACTTTAGCCATGTTAAATATGCCATATTTGCCTGACAGAAACAGACTTCAGCCCAGGCTGGATCTGACTTCAGTGCTGCTAATTCTATAAAACTAAAAGACCATTTTCTTTAATACTTCTAGTCAGGTTTAACTGTGACATCAGCTCCCACTGTGTTAGCACTGAGAGGTTAAAACATTCACACAAAAAAACATCTCCACAAGTTCAGAGATTGATAACTTGATGGGAAATACAGATGAAGATGAGGGATACGGACACATGCATGAAAAATCCTGAAATGACATGTTTTTCCTCTGTGGGTATTTGGCAACAGCAGCAATACTGGGAGGTCGGAGGTCAAGTGAAACTGAAGAAAACACCAGCACATAGAAAAATGGTGTGAAAGCACACAAAACACTGGAAAAAGGAAACAAACTCAACAGAAGTGTTTCTGGCAGGTCACCGTGTCACGTTGAAGAGGCCACTGTCAAGAACACAAACTGTGTAACAGTATGAACAATATTTCATCTTCATACCTGACTTTCAGTCCCAATGTCAGTGGGTGCATACTGGTCGCTAATGCTGACAAACTTCTGCTCGATGGGCTCCAGTAAGTCCAGGGCTGGCTTGATCTCCTTCTCTGGCTCGCCCGTCTCCACTGTGGTGCTAACGATGGCGATGTATTTACCCTGCGCAGCCACATTGTGTGCAAAGGAGATCATACAAACATAGATGTCTGCAAAAGAAAAACTCAAGTTAGTGTCAATGTTGTCATTTAGTGCCAGTGCTCAACGTTTTGATGTTGGACGTTTTAAACCCTGCATCAGATCTGAGCCTTAACTAAAACCTGACGTGCATCTCGAGAACGCTGACTGCTCACCGTGTTTCCTGTTGACCTGATTCTGCGGGATGATGATCTGGCACGAGTTTACGTCGCCAGTGTTGGCTATAGGATGACTCATGATGCAGATGGCTCTGATCACCTGACCCACTTTGGTGACACGATCCATAATGTAGCTGGGGTCGCAGATCAGCTGCTTGCACCTTGCAATCTGTGATTTGCAAACATGTTCAAAAAGTTAAAGTAGTGAACAACACCAAAGGGACACTGCAGGGACATTAAAATGGTAAAACGTCATTACATAGTTCAACTGGCCACCAATCACTGTCACTGCGATTTCTCCATCAGAGCAAAACGTGGTAAATGGTCTGTATTTCACCCCACAGCCACCCTGGGGCGCACTGACAGAGGCGAGGCTGCTGGACACTGGCGCCACCGGGCCCTCTGACCACCACCAGTAGGCAACGGGTGAAGTGTCTTGCCCAAGGACACAACGAC